GGTTCGATCCCCGTACGGGCCAACGTGCTTTTGAAGCGGACACTTGATGCCCAGTTTGACATTTCTCAACAATGATTCCAGAAATGCTAATCACATGGCAAACAATGCTTGTGTTTGTGCCATTACCGTTGAAAAAAATACCCCAGAAACCATACATCTACATACCAAGCTATAACATGGAGAGTACAAGCGTTTGTGTATGTATGTGCCTGTGGAAGTAAATCCTCACAGTACTGCAAAAATAGGAACAAAAGTAATAATAAATGAACAATGAAACTGATGACCACTTCTTTTGTCTTGTTAGTATTATCCTCATCAGCTAATCAGCTATTTCCAATGCTGACAGTACAACAGCTCACAGTCTGACAGAGCACAAGTTTCAATTAGACCGATCAAGGCCATATTATAGACAGCAGCTACAGTTTGAGACAGTACATCCTGTTACATATATATATATATATATATATATATTATGATGCCTAACACACATGTAGCCTTGGGGTGCTGTTGTGTTGCTGCCACAAACATGCTTCCATTAAAGAAAACTTGAAGCTCATCAGACTAAAGGTTCCCAGTCTATAAAAAAGCAAATGCATCATGCTTTCACTGCACTGACAGCATAATAAGATAATAAAGCATCCACCCAAGGACTACATACAGTTACACAATTATGAATGCTTATGAGTGCTATAGGAGTGGAAAGTAGACACTCTGCATATTGACGCTGTCCTTACCTGATAGACGTTACTTTTATTGTAGTGCATGTTCAGTATGCGGTAAAGCTCTGTGTCTCGGCCCACTCGCAGCTGACTCTCTCTGCCCAGACGTGGTGCACCTTCCCTGGGTTACACAGACAAAACAAGAAATGGAATCACTGTAAAATGCACGCTGACAATGCTGACATTTATTTATATTATTTATACTCAACTAGTATTCATTTTGAACAACAATCCACCTCCATAATAGTTTCTAGTGTTGTATTATGTCAAGAAAGAATTAAAGTGCTATTGTTTCATTTCTAACAGTCCTGACGTTTCAAATTTTGCTAGTTTTAGACATTTAATACACACTTATGTTGAAAAACAAACCCAGTACCTGTGTGGTGGTTAAATTGTTTCAAATAGTACTAGAGGTGGTAATTTCTGTAAATTCAGTGGCAGCTAATGTTAAAAATTCAGAGCCAACATGCTAGCTCCTATAAAACCCAGTCCAACAATGTAAATTTAGCAGCAAATGAGTTTAACATGAACCAGTGCCAGCTCAAACCAACCGGGTGAGGGCCTCGCGGACAGCCTGTCGTGCAAAGCGCTCCATCTGGATGTAGAAGAACTCTCTGAAGTTACTGAACCATTTAATCATCTGGGAGGTCACACAGCGGTTAAACTAGACAGTGGACAGGAAAACAGCAGGACATTTAGAATTAATAATTATATTAAACAATAACTTTAAACAGAGCTTGAATCAGCAGATAGATCTTTCTTTAGTTGTAACCTGAACCTCGGATTGTAATTGATTAAATAAAAACACCTTTAAGTTTGGGTTTTCACCACGACGCCACTTTGTTTCACAGTTAGAGATAATGTCAGCTAATACTGGCTGATTACATATACTGGTATCAATAAATATTCAAAAAGAAATTATAGTAAATACTTTTTCCAAAAGGCCACATTTCATTGTATTTGAGGGTCAATGTTTTGCGTTGTGTTTGTAATTATTTTAGAATGTATTTCTAGTTAACATCACACAATAGTAAAGCTTTCTTTCTAACTGTAAAATATGCGTACTGTGGAAACAATCCTTACTGTGGTTAATGGACTGCTTCAACCTCGAGCTATGTCTCTGGAGTGACAGTATTGGTAATGGGAGGATTGTCCAGCCGAGCACATAATATCGGTTCAAACGCCATCATACATATCCCTTCAATATGGCCGGTTAGCTCAGTTGGTT